TCTCCCCCCCAACCTTTTCTCCACCAGCACCGATGTCTGCGAGGGCGGTGCAAAATCCAGGACTGGATTTCTCTCCCAAATCCTGGGCTGGATTTCCTGGGACTTGGACTCACCTCCTCCAACAACCTAGCCCCCTCCTCTCGCACACCAAGGTTAGGAAGCTCGCGACTGCGAGGTATGGCATTTAGAGATAAGGGTGAAAATCGATCTATCGGGTGAACAGGCCGCGGTGAACAGAGCAAATCCAGGGTCACTGTCAATTCTAGGGAAGCTGAAGTGGGAAAGCGGGGGCCCTGAAATCCCTTCCCCCAGGATCTCGTCTCCCCCAGGTACCTGGACGCCTTCCCTTTCTCATGACCCAACTCCCTTTCCCACTCACACCCCCACACTTAATACTTTGATGGGGCCAAGACTTGAGCTCGACTGTCCCAAAGTGAACTTGGAAAATGTTCCCCAGGGATGGGGACAAACTTAGCAGGGTAGGAGAGAGGGGAGAGATCTGAGTGCTGGAGAAGCCCAGGCCACAGGGTAAGTCAAAGGCTCCAGCTCTAGGAGGAGGGAGAAGGATGTGTCTTAGACTGATACCCCCCCCATGCCAAAATGCATCCAGTCTCCATAGCAACCGTAGCTCCAAGAGTGCCTCAGAAACAGCGGGCAGAAGCAGAGAGGGATCCGTGTGTATGGTGGGTGGGAGACCAACCGGGGGATGATGAATTAGTGGAGGCACTGCCCGCAAACCTGGTTACTCAAAGGTGGGGGATTTCACTCCCCAAGTATAAGGACCCTTCAGTTGAGGCAGAGAGAGCCAGCCTCTTCAGAGTTCCCTTTCAGTCTCCTGAGGTTTGCTGAGTGGGATTCTTACGGAAGGTTAAAGAGGAGGCAGATGAGTGAATGGAAACCGTCTGCTCCTTGTCCCCCACACCTCTAGGGGTCTTGGAGTTCAAGGCTGTCTATCCTCCAGCCAGGTGAGAATCCTGAAGTGGTTAAGCCAAAGTGGAAAAGAGGTTGAGACCCCTTGGGGGTGGGGCAAGATGGGCGAAAGAAGTTCTCTCTGCAGCCTTGGAGACCCCTTCCCAGGACTTGGGGAGTCACAGCGGTCCCCTGATTTGGCATCCCACCCTCCTGACGCAGCTGAGACTATAATAAGTGCTGCCGTGGGCGGCTCTTGGAGGCAGGAGCCCGCAGCGTGCTCGGCCTGGTGGGGGGCTGAGGGTGCGGGTGGGGGGGGGTGCTGAGCCAGGATGCCACGAGCCCTTTGTTCTCCTAGAGGCCTGTACCCAATCCCTCCAGTGTTCTGTCCTGGGGCTCAGCAGCTTCTCCCTCCCTCCCTCCCTACAGAACCAGGATGACACCATCCCCAGGACAGGAGACCCTTCAGTAATGTTTTTTGATGGAGATGGTGAAGGAGAATTGTTGGCTCTGGTTTGAACTTCCCTCCTTTGATGGCCTCAGTTTTCCTTTATGTTCAATGGGAACAGAATACTAATTCTTAGAGAAGGAGTAAAACAAATCACTTATGAGGAGTGGAGCCTTCTCAGGGATTTCAGCCTCCACCCCTCCTCACCTCCCTCCCTCTCCAGAGGGAGCACAGCTTTTCTCCCTGGCCTAAACCACTCTTCTCCTTTATTATTATTATCATTATTATTTTTGACAGGGGTGGGGCATAGAGTTCCTCCCTAGGAGGCCCCATGGGCCACTCCCCCTTGGTCTGCCTTTCCAAACACTAAGGCTGTCAGGGGAGACTTCAGGTGTAGTTCCTGGCAAAGGGTGTGGGACAGGAGGTGAGAGGGGCACTAGCCTCCGAAGAGCAATAGGAAGGGGATCATCAGCTGGTCCCACTAGGCATCCAAAGCAAACCGTTCCTTCCCCAAGTTATACTCTGGTGTACCAGCAGAGAGGTCTGGCAGGAAGTGTCCTTGAGGGAAAGAATGATCTGTTGACCCCCCCAGGTAGGCAGGTAACAATGGAGAGGACTGAAATGGCTGGAAGAGATCAGGATATGATGGAAGAAGTGCTTCCACCAGATAACTTTCATGAGCAAAGAAGGCTGCTTTTGTTAGCTCTTTGCCACATCAGAGGTGAATGAAATGAGAGCGAGCTGGAAACAACCTCCAGTTCCACCAGTTCGTCAGTGGTAGGGCCTTGTGGATGGAGAGAAGCTGTTCCTGCCAGGGCTCCACCACAGGATTGAAGGCTGGGGTGGGCAGGAGGATGTGGCGGATGGTGTTGCCATGGCAGCACTTCCTCCCTGTGTTGTCATCACTTGCTCTAATGGCACTAAGGAGGTAGAGCGGAAGGTGTGTGGGGGGAAGACAGGAACAGGAGCAAGGGGAGGAGAGGGGACCAAGAAGAGTTCTGGGGACATATCTGCACTCTGGCTCTGCAGAGCATGGTGTGTTAGAGTTAGTATGCGCTTGGGAGCCTAAGATTCTCTGCATGGTGTACTTCAATGTGCATGCGTGTGTGTGTGTACGTGTGTGCATGTGTCTCTCTACAGCTGGAGAACAAGAGGTCACTGATCCTTAGTGGGTCCTGGGAATGAAATCATTATCCAGTCCCAGAACCTGCTGCTCCAGACTGCTTCCTGTTCTGGACTCCCCAGGCAGGGACCAAGTCTACCATGAGTCTGTCACAGCCTATCTTCCTCATGCTCACACATTTCTTCATTGCCAAGAAGGTCAGCTCAACAGGGACCTGTATTTTGATCTCCTGGGAGAAGGATCAGAGCAGGGAAAGAGACAGAATGATACCTCCCATGTCTTTTTCCATCCTCCCTAAATGTATTCTTCCCCAGAGTCCCAGCTCCATCTTGGGGACTAGGAAGTAGCCGACTGGGAAGTGATATATGATACAACTAACCCTTCTATGCACCTGCTAGTCCCCGATACACCCAAGTTGAGGGCTGACCTTTCGCTTACCTTGAATACTGTCTAATGAGGCCTGGATGCTGTCCTGAAGTTCAGGGTCGTCCACTCTCTCTGCCAGCTTCCTGAGGCGTTTTAGAGCCTGCTTGGCCACCTCATGTCGTTTGACTTCTGCTCTCACTGCAGCTACAACGAACTGCCTCTGGGCATGCATGTTGCCCAGACCTGTCTTTCCAGGCTAACAGCCACCTCTGGTCCTGAGGCCCATGGCCCTACAGCCCCCAAACCTCAGAAGGCCCCTTCTGCTGTGCCCAGAACTCCCCGCCCCTGCCCGCCCTTCCGTCTATAGACCTCACTTCCTGACTGGTGAGTTTCAAACCCACAGCCTGGGACAGCACTACCTCCTGCACCTCCCACCCCCTCTAGTGTTGGCCCATCAGCCCTGCCAGCCAGCCCCTGCTATGATTTCCCAGCCAGGTGGATGGAGAGATCTTAACAGTGTCCCAGGGCCTCCTGTGGGAGGTGGTTAATTAAAATGGGTGTTGGTTCTGGGAGAATATGGTAAGCTAGGTCCCAGGTGCAATCCTAAACTCTTGATGACTTGGAGATTTCGGAACTCTCACAGGAATTCATGCACACTTGGTCTGTTACCTTCAGAGCCCTGCATTCTAGTGTACACTTGTACCCATCGCCCTCTCTACATATCTCAATGAGCTCTGTATCCTTATGTCTTACAACGTAACCCTTTTTCAGTCAGCTACCCACTGAGGCCACCTCCTGTTTAAAAGGGCCAAGTGAGGCCAGGCGTGGTGGCTCATGCCTCTTATTCCAGCACCTTGGGAGGCTGAGGCAGGAGAATCACTTGAACCCAGGAGGTGGAGGTTGCAGTGAGCCAAGGAGGTGGAGGTTGCAGTGCATTGCACTGCAGCCTGGGTGACTTAGTGAGACTCCATGTCAAAAATAAATAAATAGGCCCCCAGCACTTTGGGAGGCCGAGGTGGGTGGATCACGAGGTCAGGAGATCGAGACTATCCTGGCTAACATGGTGAAACCCCGTCTCTACTAAAAATACAAAAAACTAGCCGGGCGTGGTGGCGGGCGCCTGTAGTCTCAGCTACTTGGGAGGCTGAGGCGGGAGAATGGCGTGAACCCGGGAGGCGGAGCTTGCAGTGAGCCGAGATCACGCCACTGCACTCCAGCCTGGGAGCACAGCGAGACTCCGTCTCAAAAAAAAAACAAAAAAAAAAACCAAATAAATAAATAAATAAATAGGCCAAGTGATTACGGGGAAAATGAGTTCTGAAGGAGGAAAGTAACCTATAAAAAGACAAAAACTACCATGTTCCATGTTCAATCAGTTTCATAATAATTAACATGTCTATAACACTTAATAGTTTACAACCTACTTTCATATATATTATCCTCATGACAGCCCTGAGGGGTAAGATTATTTATACCTATTCTGAATAAAAGGAAACTAAGGCTCAGAGAAGCCATTAAGAGGTGAAACAAAGACATGGATTTAGGTCTTCTGATTTTATTTTATTTTTACTTTTTTATTTTTAGTTTTTACCAAGCACATAAAGCCCAGATTGATTATAATTTTGATACCCCTTTCACTACACCACACAACCAAAATGCTTGTCAGCCAGTTCCCCTTCTAATACCATTGTCTTGCCCTTGATTTAGGACCTGAAAGAAAAGAAAGTAGATGAGGAATTGAAGGAGACAATGAAGATGGGAGTTGGGGTAGGAAGGGGATGTAGGTGGGGAGTGAGGGGGTGGGAGGTGGGAGGTAGTGGGTAGTTTGACTTAATTACTTTGTTTACACTGGACGCCTGTAATCCTAGCACTTTGGGAGGCCCAGGCAGGCAGATCACCTACGGTCAGGAGTTTGCCACCATCCTGGCCAACATGGCAAAACCCTGTCTCTACTAAAAATACAAAAAAAAAGCTGGGCGTGGTTGTGGGCAGCTGTAATTCCAGGTACTCGGGAAGCTGAGCCAGGCAGGAGAATTGTGTAAACCCGGGAGGTGGAGGCTGCAGTGAACTGAGATCGCGCCACTGCACTCCATCCTGGACTACAAAGGAAGGCTCTGTCTCAAAATAATAATAATAATACATTACCTTGTTTCAAGACCCAAACACCTCTCTGGCCCTGTCAAATATGTCTTCTGCATACCTTTTTGATATTAATTTCTGAAAGTTTATATCAATACCGTGTAGTTACAGATAAGGGAATTAAGGTTGGAATTGCCCACAGGAACCTGTAAAATGACCTGAAAAGTAATAATTAACATTGAGTGTTTACTATGTGCCAGGTACTCTTCTAAGTATTCTACATATATTAACTCATTTAATTCTCACAACCCAAGAGGTAGGTGTGTTGTTATTTATCCCCATTTTACAAATGAGGAAACAGGCACAGACAGTTTCCAAGTGCCTGGCCAAAGGTTACACAGCTAGAAGTGGCAATCCAAGTGGCAATCTGACTGTGGCAGTAGACTACAGAATCTAAGTACACACAAACATAAATCATTCTGTTGAGTTGATTAGAGGGTTTTCTTTTTTGTTCCTACTGTTTCTTTCTCCTGGGGAGAGAAGGATTATGCCTTTCCCTACCCCCGTGAAAAGGACGGTTTGTCAAAGCACTTACTAGATAATAAAGTTACTGATCAGTCCACCCGTAAGTGAAAAGGTGGAGACTCCTTCCCCTTATATTTATTTATATCCAAGACTCTTCCTCTTGCCTGTCATTTTTTGCAAGCCCTGGATCAGGCGTGTACTCTGAAAATGCTGAGCACACCCGTGTGTGCACTTGTGGCAATGCCACACACAGGAATGCGCTGGCCTGAGGCCGCTATTTCCACACTGAATTTCTGGTATATTCACACCCCTTTTAGGAGGGTATATGGTAGAGGACATGGGTACTGGCGGACACACAAACGTATGATGATTTGCTGGGTGTTGCTGTGTCCAACCCGCGGACTCTGTGGCCGGGCTAAATAAGCTCAATATGTGGCTCCTTTGGGTGTTCCCGAGCGTGACGCATTAACAAAACAATGGCGTCATCATGAAGTCACTGCAGCACAGGGGGAAGGGAGGGCGGAAGGGCCCTCCTTCTACCGGTGGAGCCCTTTCTGCCCAGCTCTCGGAGCGGCCCCCCACCTGCCCCTCCCGCCGTGTCCCCTTCACCTAAATTCCTCCAGAGCCGTCTCCCTCGAATTAGCCCTCTCCTAACTCCGACCACAGAAAGCTCAGCTTTCAACTCAAGCTTTTGGAGTTTAGACTGTTGTCCCTGAGAGAATCTCTAGAAGCCCTTCCCCTAGTTTTCAGTTTCGCCCAATGAAAAAACAAGAGGAGGAGGACAGAAGGCGGGTCAGTGACGTAATGCGGGCTGATTGGCATGCAGGCCTTGGACGTCCAGGATTAGCCACGCATTTCGCCAATCCAGAGGCAGGGGAGGGACGGTGCAGGCGCAGAGAATTGGGTTTGGCTGGCCTCGATTTAAAGAGACAGAAGCTGTCGGGGTCCTGGAAGACGGTCCCCAATACCCTCCCCCCAAGTCCTTGGGACCACTTGGGTCCCCAGAGCTGGGGAGATGGTTTGCGGCGGCTTTGCCTGCTCCAAGAATGCGCTTTGCGCTCTCAACGTGGTCTACATGGTGAGGTTTTGGAGGTGGGGGAAGCTTTCGGGCGGAAAGGCCTCGTGGGGAGAATCTCCAGGGTACTTCCGGTGGGGAAAGGGGTGTATAGGGGTTCCGGGAAGATTCCCAGGAACTTCCGGCGAAGAGGGAATTCCTGGGGACTTCCGTGGGAGAGGGAAGACTACCGGTTGATGAAGGGGTTTGTCTGGGGGTGGGGGAATGAACTTAAGGCCGTGGGCATAAGTTCCATCCCTCCCTCCTTTGAACCTCAGTTTCTCCCAAAGTAGAAGTGATAGGATGATCCTGAGGGTTCAGCTTTTGTATTCATAGTACTATCCCTGCCACCCCCTATACCCCATCCCAGCCATTCTAACCTTTGGGAATGCCCAGGGATGCTCCTGGTGGCGATAGCACCACCCCCGCCCCGCCCACCCGCCTCCCTCCCATTCACACACCATTCTATTATTCCTTCCCCACCCCCGCCCCCAAGTCCTCTTGTAATGGCTTTGGGCCGTGCTCATGCTAGAATTTTTGAGATGTATCCTGCTCTTTCTTTGTAGCTGGTGAGCTTGTTGCTCATTGGAGTGGCTGCTTGGGGCAAGGGCCTGGGTCTGGTGTCCAGCATCCACATCATCGGCGGAGTCATTGCTGTGGGAGTCTTCCTTCTCCTTATCGCAGTGGCTGGACTGGTGGGTGCTGTCAACCACCACCAAGTCCTGCTGTTCTTTGTATCCTGACCTGAAGTGATGGGGGCAACTGGGCTCTTGGGAGGGCTGTCATCTATGGAAGATGTTAAAAGGGTAGGGGACCTCAGGGATCTTGGACATGTCTCCTTGCCCTGCCCTGTCCCATAATCTATGAAACAAGAGCTGATTTTATTGCTTTCAATTTGACATGGTGGTATAAGTTCTATGAACAGATGAGACCAGTTATAGATGGAACATAAAGGAATCTAGGACTTTTTTCCATAACCTTTCCTCTCAGTACATGATCATCCTTGGTTTGGTCTTCATCTTCCAATTTGTAATCTCTTGCTCATGTCTGGCTATTAACCGAAGCAAACAGGTAAGACAGTACCTTTTCAAGTACTTACTTGCTTTTTAAAATTTTCCTCTTAACCTCAAACTCCTTCCTTAGTCTGGCCCCAGCTACCCAAAGATCATCCTTAGGTGCACTGCTTCTGGCCCCTTGGGCTATTTGCTTCCTCTGGAATGTCTGGTTAATTTTTCATGAGGATGATCTAGAGAACCTGAAAAGGTAGATATTTATTGTGTCTATAATTGTGGCACACCGTTATGCTTCTGGTTGACTTCTTTTGCTGGGCTAGGGAAATTGAGGCACTTGAACTGATACTGGGATGTAGGGAGACTTAATTTCTCTCTGCCCATATCCTCCAGACAGATGTCATCAATGCTTCTTGGTGGGTCATGAGCAACAAGACTCGGGATGAACTGGAAAGAAGTTTTGATTGTTGTGGCTTATTCAACCTCACAACCCTGTATCAACAAGATTATGATTTCTGCACTGCAGTGAGTGTGTTGGGGGTGGTGCAGCAGCCAGGGGAGGTAGGAAACTGGGTAAGGACAATGCCCAAGTTGGCAAATTTAGTTCGAATGTCATTGTTTCTCTCTCGAGAAGCCCTCTTGTATTGGGGCTGTGTATTGGTGGGCGGTGGGGGTGGATAAAGAGGCTGGGGAATTAGTGAAGTCAGATTTTAGTTTGTAGGACGCTGGTCAGATAACAGGAAAGTTTCTAGAGACATTCGGCATAGGTATTGGTGACTAGCAACTTTACATTAGCAACTTTGCATTCTTCACACACACGTTTTATCCTCAGATCTGCAAGAGCCAGAGCCCCACATGCCAGATGTGTGGAGAAAAGTTTCTTAAGCATTCAGATGAAGCCCTGAAAATCCTAGGGGGTGTTGGACTCTTCTTTAGCTTTACAGAGGTACATTCTCCAGTTTCCTCACGCACATCCTTTTCAACTTGAGACTGATAACTGATTGATGCTTCTCTCTCCCTTTGTTCCTACAGATCCTTGGTGTTTGGCTAGCAATGAGATTTCGGAATCAGAAGGATCCTAGAGCCAACCCCAGTGCCTTTCTATGAGACTTTGGATCCTTCTGACTTCTCTTCTGCTCTAAGCTTTCTCTTCCTCCCTTAGGGAATATCTAGGGTCTGTAACCATTTTGGTTTGAGAAAAAGGAAAGGCCCCTTGTCAAATCCTCTAAAATTGATGGAATAGCAAGACTTTATGCCTTGACATATTTTAGTGGGAGCCAGACTATAAGGAATAAAAGGAAAAACTTTCTCCCTCTCTCTCCAAGAGGATATGGGAAGCTTCTGAGGGTACATAGGATGGGCTGGAGTCATTCTTAGCTGTTTCCCCTCCTCCGTCCATATGCTGGATCACCTCAACATACCCTGGGGTGTGGCTCTAAGGGTAAATCAGGGACAGAGCCAAGGAGAAAACCACCAAGAGCTCTTTCCTGTAATAAGCAGGACCCAGTTTGAGAAAGTTCAGTGAATATAAAAAAGCCATTTAAAAATCTATATATATATATGTATTTTTTGACACTGAGTCTTGCTCTGTTGCCCAGGCTGGAGTGCAATGGCATGATTTCAGCTCACTGCAACCTCTGCCTCCCGGGTTCAAGCGATTCTCCTGCCTCAATCTCCCAAGTAGCTGGGATTACAGGTGTGCGCCACCACGCCCGGCTAATTTTGTATTTTTAGTAGAGACAGGGTTTCACCATGTTAGTCAGGCTGGTCTCGAACTCCTGACCTCAGGTGATCCACCCGCATTGGCCTCCCAAAGTGCTGAGATTATAGGTGTGAGCCACCGTGCCCCGCCCTAAAATCCATATTCAAAGAAGCAATTTCTGTTCCTTTCTAAGCTTTGTCAGTCAAGGGGCTCCACTGACTTGCTAGGCCCTGTAACTTAACCAGTCTTTAAGGTTTTGCAGGAAAGTCCCTTCTTCCAAGTGGTTATTCCAAATCGCACAATGGCAAAGCCAAACAGAGGAAGAAACATTAAAAAAAAAAAAAAAAAAAAGACCATTATTTCTTTGTTTTGTTTTTCCTGTATAAAAAAGGACCCCAAATATAAAGGTAGGGAGAGGGACAAGTGGGAACATACCCCTTAGTGTAGAGAAATAGTGGGGCAGGAGAAGGAGAAGCCTCAAAAGGAGAGGTAGGAGGGAAATGTTAAGGCAGCAAAGTAATCTCTGTAGAAAGATGGAGGAGGAGCCTCCACAGCCTCAGAGATAAAGGCAAAGATTGCCCTCTCAGTGTCCAGAAGGGAAATGGCAGCTTTTCTTCCTTCCACGGCAGCCACTCCATTGCTCACTCCGGATTACCTTCATCCTTATGTAGATAAGAGTGCTGCAGAGCTCGAAAGGCAGAGATTCGCTTGTGTGGGTTAAAAGTCAGCATTTCCTGAGGGGAGAGGCAAAGGTCAGAAAACCATGAAGAAAACTGAGAGAGACTTCTACCCACCCATGACAATACCTGGGATGAGCTCTCTTCCTTTCTTTTTTTTTTTTTTTGAGACGGAGTCTCGCTCTGTTGCCCAGGCTGGAGTGCAATGGTATGATCTCAGCTCACTGCAACCTCTGCCTCCTGAGTTCAAGTGATTCTCCTGCCTCAGCCTCCCAAGTAGCTGGGATTACAGGCGTGCACCACCACGCCTGGCTTATTTTTGCATTTTTAGTAGAGACAAGGTTTCAACACGTTGGCCAGGCTGGTCTCCCAACTTCTGACTTCAGGTGATCTGCCCACCTTGCCCTCCCAAAGTGCTGGGATTATAGGCGTGAGCCACCACGCCCAGCCAGGATGGGTTCTCTTCCATATCCCTCTCTGTGGGTGGCCATCTGCAGCTGTAATAAAAACTACAGCCCATCTACCAACCAAGTTTCATTAACCACAGTGGCCAGGGCCCTGCACACTGCTCTATTTCTTTCCCCAGTCTCTCCCTATGCCCACAGCCATCCCCAGTACCAGCAGCAGCTGTGCTCCCGACTCCTCCATCTCAGGTACCACCGACTGCACTGGGCGGGGCCCTCTGGGGGGAAAGGCTCCACGGGGCAGGGATACATCTCGAGGCCAGTCATCCTCTGGAGGCAGCCCAATCAGGCTGTGGGGGACAGGAGAACTCTGGTCAGGAGGGTCCTCCAGTTCCCATCCCCATGGGCAAAGCCAGTTGCCATCCTGGGCTTAGCAGAAAGAGGACTCAGAATAGAAAACCTTTTTCTCCCACGTTGGTCACTTACTCAAAGATTTTGCCCAACTGGTCAGCTTCAGAGTTTCCACAGAAGAGAGGCCTAAGGTGAGAAGGGACATAAGGTAGCAGTCATTTTCAAAGATATCTTAGTTGAATGGTTACTGCTTAGTGGCCCAAAATAGAAAGCACAGGGAATAAAGGTCAATAATTCCAGCACTTTGGGATGCTGAGGTGAGAGGACTGCTTGAGCCCAGGAGTTCCAGATCAGCCTGGGCAAGCAAGACCTTGTCTCTTAAAAAAAAAAAAAAAAAAAAAATTGCTGGGCACAGTGGCTCACGCCTGTAATCCCAGCACGTTGGGAGGCTGAGGCAGGCGGATCATGAGGTCAAGAGATTGAGACCATCCTGGCCAACATGGTGAAACCCCGTCTCTACTAAAAATACAAAAATTAGCTGGACGTGGTGGCACGCACCTGTAGTCCCAGCTACTTGGGAGGCTGAGTCAGGAGAATCACCTGAACCTGGGAGGCGGAGGTTGCAGTGAGCTGAGATCGCACCACTGCACTCCAGCCTGGCGACAAGGCGAGACTCCGTCTCAAAAAAAAAAAAAAAAAGCCAGTCATGGTGGCATGCACCTATAGTTTCTGCTACTCAGGAGGCTGAGACAGGAGAATTGCTTGAGCCCAGGAGATAGAGGCTACAGTGAGCTGTAATTGGGCCATTGCACTCCAGCCTGGGTGACAGAGTGAAACCTTATTGCAAAAATAAATAAATAAATAAATAAAAGAGAATAAAGGGATATGAAGTTCCTAATTCTAGAACATTTCAGAGCTTTCTGCTATGGGCAAAGTAGTCAGTAGTATGCAAGTAAAAGAATGGGGCCAGGTCCAGTAGTTCATGCTTGTAATCCCAGCACTTTGGGAGGTAGCGGTGGGAGGACTGCTTGAGTACAAGAGTTCAAGACCAGCCTGGGCAATATACTGAGACCCCCTCTCTACAGAAATATTAAAAAACTAGCTGGGCATGGAGTGTCAGCTACTTGGGAGGCTGAGATGGGAGGATCACTTGAGCCCAGGAGGTTGAAGCTGCAGTGAGCTGTGATCATGCCATTGCAATCCAGCCTGAGCAACAAAGCAAGCCCTGGTCTCAAAAAAAAAAAAAAAAAAAGAAAAAGAAAAAGAAAGAATGGGCAGGGTGTGGACGTGGTTTATGAACAAGCAATTTGGGGAATTCAAGGTGGTCCAGGGTATATGGGTCCCATACTTTCGACGAAACATCTCTGCAAAGATACAGCCAACACTCCACATGTCCACAGGTGTTGCATATGTGGACTGCAGAAGAACTTCGGGAGCTCGGTACCAGAGTGTAACAACCTAAAGAGAATAGGAAGAATGGATGGGGACTCCATGGGTTACCACAAAACACAACTTGCTTGACTGAACACATGAAGCACATGACTTCTCAATTGCTACAGGCAATCACTCTCCTACTCCCAACCAGAACCCATTTTGGTACCATCTTTCTACTGACCACGGGTGTAAGTGCCATCTGGTAGCTGTAGATTCTGGCCAGGCCAAAGTCAGCCAGCTTGACTGTTCCACCACTTGTCACCAGAATGTTCTCTGGCTTCAGATCTCGGTGAACGATGCAATTTGCATGAAGGAAATCTAGGCCTCTTAGAAACTGGCGCATCAAATCCTAGTTTAGAAGGGGGAGGTACAGATGCACTGGAAACTAGGCACCATACCTGAAATCCCAGGAGGTTTTACTACAAAGGTCCCAATCCACCTCTCAATGCCTACCAACCCCACTCACCTTGATGGTCTCGGCTGGCAAGCCTGGTGGGGGTGCTTTGTCCAGATACGTCCTTAGGTCTTGGTCTACATGCTCAAACACCAGGGTTACCTTGATCTCCCGGTCAGTTCGGGAAGTGGCACAGACGTCCATCAGCCTGGCCAGAGTAAATGCTCACTTTTCAATCCCCTTTAACCCAACATGGCCTCTCATTATTTCCTCAGGGTCCCCACTTCTCTACAGATCACCACACCCCACCTATAGGCTGTCTTTTCCCTTTACTCCCCACTCCCCTCGTCACCACCTTCTCACCGGACTACATTGGGATGTTCAAAAGCCTCCAGTCGCCTCAGTAAGGCCACCTCCCGAACTGTGCTGATGGGAAGGCCTCCTCCAGCTCCTCCTCCATTGGGGACTCTCACACTCTTGAGGGCCACAAAGTGGCCACTGTGGGGATCACGGGCCTTGTACACTGTCCCATAGGCACCGACACCAATTTCAGCCACTGGCTCATATCGAGAGGTAGCCATTCTCAGATCAAGGGCGACCCTACAATCACAGACTCCTATCACCAAAAGTCCCTTACAGAATTAGGATGGTACGAGCCTGCAGCAACAAAAGGACTCCCAAAAAAAAGCACAAAGAGCAACACTAGCATCCCATCCCCCGCTCGCAGTCTTCCTTGGGACCGGCCCCAGAGATAACACAATGACTCAATACCAACCCCTCCAGCCACGTGAGGCCCTGCAATAAAAAACGCATTTTCCTTTGGGACAATCGCGCCCTGCACAAAGATCACACATGACACATGCCTTGCATCGAAGATCCTACACCTCAGTCCCTAAAATCATACTTTCCAATGACCACAAAGGCCCCACTTCCCGCCCTTGAGCGACCCCCTCCATAACCAGCTCGAGAAACGAACGCGTGGAAAACTGTGAGGGGGGCGGGCACTGGTTCTCATTCCCGGGAAGGGACTGCGCTTACCTCACGCCAGGCCGGGGTGCTGCGGGGGCGGCCCGTTATCGGGGCCCCGGAGCTGGTTCCTACGGCCCCATACACCCGAGCTCGGTCCGGGGCAGCTGGACGCAGAGGGCCCGACCATAGACACAGGCCGCAAGCTAGAGAGGCCCCCTCACCCCCACCCTCACCATGTGACCAGCTGCCAAAGAGGCGCGCGGAAACTGGGAGGGCGGGGCGAACGCCGGACGTTCTGGGCACGTGACCGCCACCCATGCGCGGAGGGGTGGCCAGGAGCCGCTTTGACGGGGAGGAGGGCGAAGAGTGTAAGGGGGCGGAGGGGCGATGGTAGCCACGTGATCTGTTGCTATCACACGTGACCGCTTGACATTGCTCTGAGGAGCAGAGGTGTGGTTACGCGGCGGGCACGTGACTGGCTGCCACAACCCCCGCCGCGGGGGGGCGCGGTAAGGGGACAAGAGAGGGTGGAGCCCGAGGCGGTGCCATGGCAACGTAGGCCACCCAGAGCCCAACTCCCGGCTGAAGGATTGTCTCACTACCGGTCTGAAGGCTGAACTCCAGTCTCACTACCGGTCTTTCAGCCTGTCTACATTGGGGAGGGAATGGGAGTTGGGGTACAGAGGTGATGCTGTCACTTTTTCGCTCCACCATGATAAAACATACTCTCATTTGTGTCATTGATTCATTCATTAATTCTACAACATTTTACTGAGTGCTTGCTTCCAGTGTGTATGTGGGTTTTTATTTTGTTTTGTTTCTGGTGTCTGTCACTGGCCCTTTAAAGTAGTGGTACGGCTATCTAGAAAGATGTAGCCAACAATGGGGTCTTCTAAAATAGGGAGTAAACAATGCCCATTTGAGGGCAAAACTACGATTAAAGGACGGACAGAAGGCAAATTAATACAGTAATCCAACAGGTTCAGTGACAAGGTAATGCCCCCTCTTTTCTCAACTTCCAAATCTCCCTGGGAGTGTTAATGCAAAGACCTGAGGCCATCTGGCAGAGAAGTTATTAATGAGCAGGAGACAGGAATACTTGACCTTTAAGTTTTTTTTTTT